AAATATGCCTCAAATCAAAGTTATCATCAATTTATAAAACTCAAAACTAAAAATATAAAGTCTTGACTACAGTATATTCAAATAAATACCAATGTAATTTTACAGGAATATTCAATATTATTGCACAATTTCTAAAATGCATTAGTTTTAATTATAGGCTATATTTGTTTTTATTTATATTAAAGGGTAATATGGTACTTATTTTAAAAATAATAAGCATTTATTATATTGTCATTTACTTTTACTCACCTTATTATGAGATAATCTATAGATGAGAATGTAATTAAATTAGCAAAACTTCAATAATAAATTGAAACACTTTTGAATTTAGTCGCGCTATTAGTTCTCAAATGAATTTATCAAATATTAGTATTTTATGCTTTCAAAGTACAAAACAAATAATTTTGTCACTATTTCTGCACTAATTTACCAAAAACTCATTGAAATTCGGAAATTGTTTTTCAATTAATTTATATATATTTTTGTTATTTTCAACCAAAGAACATACACTCAATATTGTTTAATATTTATCATTTTGAGTCTATTTTTATTTTCCATTTCCTTTCATTAAATTTTCCATTTTTCTCAAATGATTAACAACTTTTCAAATGATTTCGTTTCCTATTTATAATTGAAATAAAGCACAAATATTGAATCCCAACAAATAGATTGTATTATTTAAAACTATATCAAAACATCGACGGATTGGCAAATAGTGGAGAAATAGAAAAGAGACAAAGGATTGTGGGTTACATCCCATGCCCACTGATGGGGTAACGCGTGTCCGACCAATTGGTTGATGTGTTCAGGCACATATTTTAGTTACTTGTTTTCAAATCAAATTAAGGCTCCACTCCAATGAATGCATCACTGATTTTAATATAATTCAATTTCGTAAAGTCAGATATAGACGTTTAATAACTCGCGGACATCGTTTTATTACGTAGTAAAATGTCTGAGATGTGAAAAAGAGTATATTTAGGGTAAAAATACTAAATATCATTCAGACTTTTAAGAAAATTTATTTCGTTATTCGTATTTTGATTTGAGTACTACTCGAGTGTTCACTGCTCTATACAGCATACCATTCAATATATATATGGTTTGAGTGCAATTGTCACCACTATTTCAGAAATCGTGGACACAGTGTAGAGTATACTACAGACAATATGCCCCCATACATACATATACTCATATTATTCATGTTTTGATAAATTGTGGCTTAACAACATTTTGAAGACAATTCTAAGTTAGGATTTCTAATATA